TCCCCCAGAGTCCCCCAGTGCCAGCCTTCCCCCAGAGCCTCCCCACTAGCTTTGCCTTCAGAGCCCCCCAGCACTAGCTCCACCCCTGAGCCCCCTCAGTGCCTGCCCCGTCCCCCTCACCTAGCTCTGTGCTGCTGCCCGGATGGTGGCAGATCTGGGGGCCGAGGCTGGGGTACACGGCCCATTGCCTCCTCTCCCACTGCAGCTGTTGGGAGAGGCATGTTCTGCCCTGCTTCTCAGCCAACCAGCTCTGAGCAGAGCTGGGCTTTCCTCCTGGCCACAGAAGAGTGGTTCGCTGCGCAACGCAGGGTCCTCTCCTGGCTGTGGAAGAGCACTTGCATGACCCTCCTGCAGTGCGGGGAAGCGTTCTTCTGTGGCCAGGAGGAGACCCTGCTCTTCCTGGTGCTGTTCAGCTGAGAGGCGGGGCAGGACCCGCCCCTCCCAACGGCCGAGGCGAGAGCGGTGTGCTGCGGCCTGGCAGCCAGAGGTCTGCGGCCTGGCGGTTGGGAACTGCTACTCTGTACCATCATCTAAATCGTTGATGAAGATATTGAGCAGAACCGGTCCCAAAACAGACCCCTGCAGAACCCCACTTGTTATGTCCTACCAGCATCATTGTGAACTGATCAGAACTACTCTCTGTGAATGGTTATCCAGGCAGTTACATACCCACCTTATAGTAGCCCCATGTACGTTGTATTTCCCTAGTTTATCGATAAGAAGATCATGCAAGACCATATCAGATGCTTTACTAAAGTCTAAGTATACCACATCCACCACTTCTCCTTTTTCCACAAGGCTTGATATCCTATCAGAGAAAGCTAGCAGATTGGTTTGACATGATGTGTTCTTTACAAATCCACACTGGCTGTTACCTATCACCTTATTATCTTCCAGATGTTTGCAGATGAACTCCTTAATTACTTGCTCCATTCTCTTCCCTGGCACAGAAGTTCAACTGACTGGTCTGTAGTGTCCTGGGTTGTTCTTATTTCCCTTTTTAT